TGACTGAAAATATATGTAGGCTGATATTATTATTTTTTTCGGAACGGTGTTTATATGTGTCACGAATTATGCATGTTATTAATAAAAGACATTTACATATTTAAAATTACTTTTAAATTACAAATATTCTCATTGGTTTTAATAGAATCTTATTTATTAACTCATTTTAGTTGATCCAAGAAACTTATAGAATATCACCAATCCACGTAAAATTTACTTATATTTAAATTTTCTATGTGGATTTTAATTACTCTCTTCTTTTTATTGTTTTAGATTCGTATATACATATTAATAAAATATTTAATTTTTTCATATTTTCGTAACGAAATTTTTTCTACAAAAATAGTATTAATTACGGTTTGGAAAGGTTTTTCCTCCTTGTGAGTCTGACTGATCAAATCTCCTAGGCTCCTAGCTGATCTTATAGCTGCTTCTATCAATTTCAGACCTTTGTTATGAACCTCCAAGTTTTTTTGATGATGATGAGTTTTCTGTGTCATAACCAAATACAAGTCATTTGCCTTTGTTTAGATCATGAGTAACTGTTGGAATAGGCTCACGACTTAAAAAGAGGTTTCTGCAAAATAGGCTCAAGATCTGTCTTGTCTGATTTTTCTTTCTTCCCCACTTGCTACACGTAATATTGCCTCATCCCTTCCAAAACTTCAAGGGCGATACGAGGACGATCAGAATATTTTCTTTTACACTCCAAAGAGAGGATCTGCAAAATAAGTTTACCTGCCTGTTTTGTACCAGAGAATCCCTGCCTTTTCCTGCTCCAACAGAGATAATAGTTTCTGGAACAATCAAAGGGAAAACAGCTGCATCATGACATGAGTCATCCTATGATTTAACATATTTTCTGAATTCTCTCATAGTAATTGACAGAAATGTTCCTTATTTGGACCTAAATTGGAACATAGTATGTTCAACATACTGTAAATAATCAGCACGAAGTTCTTCAACTGATCTTTCCAGCACAAGCATCCATTCATTATATGATTGAACACCTTTCTCCAAGATTTCAATCAAACCATGACTATGCTATTATATCGTTTAATAGAGCTTTATGTTTTAATGCATGCCAGCACTTAGCCAATTTTTACAAGTCAAATTTAGAACAGAATTGACAACTGTTAATTACATAATTTACATTAGAGTTTATGATGATCAACCGAACGAAAATCAAACCTTGATCTAAATTAAACTATTGTGTTTGGTTTAGTTTTGGTACATTTCTAACACAAAACAAAATTTAATTTTATGCATAAACCTATGAACGTATACAAGTAAGTAGTCATGAAGTTAAAAACTATATGTACTAAGCTTATTATTTACTTTCAGTAACACTCCTAAATCTTCTATGTTGTAAAATCGATCGTACGTACAATCGACAAAATAATAACAAATATACAACAATATCATATGATGCATAAGTAGTTTATTTTCTTTCGTGGATAAAGAACATGCATGTTCAAGTTCATGCGACTAATCATAAAAGCACTGGGATAGTCTGAAAACGCCACAAAATAAAATTAAGAAAACGAGAATAAATAGTTTGGTAGAGCAAAGTGCCTATACTAATGATATAAATTGCTTTTTAGTCATCACAAAATCATGTAAACAAATTAATTATCGGATAAATCATGATGAAAAGCTGTGACAACAATCATTTGGATCCGAGAGATTGCAGAGAAGAGCTTGCAATCATGAGTATTGTAAAGCATGTGATTAGTCCATCATTAGATCAAGTGGCACATATATCTTGGTACGGCAACTCGTTCTACTACTTGAAATACCAATGAATCAAAAAAACATTTAAGGAAGTTCACATATTAATTATTGTTACGCTGGTGATGAAGAATCAGCTATATTGGAAGTTTAAACCACGTCGAGATTGACAATTGGGTTATATGGCGTTTGGTTAAACGGCCGGTTAAATATTACTCAATGGTTTACGGTTATTGACAACCGGTTATCAGTTGTAACAACCCTTGCCTAATATCAAAGCAAGGCTCGTGTGTTGTACACTAAGGAGGTTAGTTTACATTGCCAGGCCTCAGAGACTATCCACATCGGTGAACTTTGGGACATCAAATGAAAAGGTTGGTTAAGCCCGTTGGACTTGTTCAAGTTGGGCTAACTTGAACAAGTGACGCGCGTATGATTTATGGGCCTAGTTGACAAAGCCCATTAGGTCATGTTCTGATTATATCAGATGAAGAGGTCACGACAGAAGACCTAACACAAGATAGACACAAAGAAACACAGAGGAGAGGCACGGAAGAGTGGGAGCTCGTGAGAGAGCTTGAGACCAGGGTTTGGGTCTGCAGAGATAGAGCTAGAGAGAAGAAAGGTTCTCTGTATACTAGCTAGGCTCTTCCCTACATAATTGTATCTCTAGGTGATTTGTAACAGAGATCAAGAGAGGTTGACAAGATCTGTAACCTCTGGATATTGTACTCTTGTGTTTGATATAATGGAAGGTTGAGAGACCGATTTCTCTCTCCAGTGAGTAGCTCCTTCTTCACATCGAAGAAGGGAGGTGAACACTGGGTTAACAAAAGTGTCTTGTGTTCCTTCTTTACTTGCTTGATTCGTGTTCCGCGTACTTGATTAGTTGACTAAGTTTGCGATACAAACTACTGAGCTTCTAGTAAACAGATAAATCCTGAAAAAGGGAATAAGAGCTTGTAGATTCCGCAACAAGCTTCTTTGGTTTATTCCCCAACAATTATGTTATTAAAAAGGAGAAGAAAGGAGAATTTTGCATACTAGTTTTAGAGTCAATCGGTAAACGACAAATAAATGACAAAATTATGTAAATAGCAATTGAAAGGAATAGATTTATCCTTGATTTACCTTACATTATTATTTTATGTAGATGACTGATTTATCAAATGTCATAGTTAACAAACTGAATGTATGTCACATTGTCACTTACACTAAGAATGTTTTCTTAAAACCATATTTCCACTTACACTAAGAATGATGACTTCTTAGTGTAAGTGACAATGTGACATGCATGTAACTCAAATGTCATAGTTATAACGAACTTAAATGAAAATAGAAAAAGATACACTGATTTAGGATGGCGAACAAAAAACAAAACAAAAAAATGATAGTATAATAGCTGACGAATTTTCAGACTATAAGTTGAATGGAAAAAATCTCTTTTATCGAAGTTCATGATTGAAAACCAAAACATGGTACAACCAGGGGCGGAGTAAGAATATTTCTTATACTGGGCAAAACTATAAAACACAACTAAATATCTTTATAGATTGAATTTTTAAAGGGGCATTAATAAAATTCTGGACAAATTTACACTAACTGAAAAAAGTTTATGGTGGGAAAATGCACTTTCCAAACTCTATGTACGTCCGCCACTAGGTACAACTACAAGTGATCATAAGTAGGAACAAAGAATCTCACGTTCCAAAAATAATAGCATGCGTAAAGGTAAAAGGAAAAAAAGAGAAATAAAAAAAAAAAAGGAAAAGAAAAGAGGAAAAAAAATCCATTGCAGATTGGCTCATAATCTTACATGATTTGCTTGGGCCAATCCTAAAAGCCACAAACTCATTTCACTGTCAATCATATGATTAGATGGTGATGACTAATGATCATCTGATTTTGCACATTTCCATGTGACCCACCTTTTGTATCTTAAAACTTTAGAATAAACAAGAGGGTCCACATAATGAATGACCTCATCTATTTAAACACACTCATTTCCCATATTCCACATAACCAAATCCATCAATTCTTCATATTTCGAGTGTAATAAAAGTATACTAATTAAATATGGACTCCAATGGTAATGTAAATGCCGGTTCTTCCTCTGGATCAAAAAAGAGTCATAGGCAAAAGCGGCAGCAACCGCAGCCGCAGACTCAGCAACATACTGAAGAAATCAAGTATGTAGGAGTGAGGCGGAGGCCATGGGGAAGATACGCAGCTGAGATAAGAAACCCAACTACTAAAGAGAGGCATTGGCTAGGTACATTTGATACCGCCGAGGAAGCTGCATTGGCATATGATAGAGCCGCACGGTCTATAAGAGGCTTGACTGCTCGTACCAACTTTGTCTACTCAGATATGCCTCGTGGCTCCTCAGTAACTTCCTTCATCTCTCCTGATGAATCACAACGTTTCATTTCCGAGTTATTCAACCCTCCAAGCCAACTACATGCTCCTCACAACAGCAACAGCAACAATCTCTATTTGTCCACCAACAACCAAAACCCTATTGAATTCTCATACAATGGCTGGCCACATGAGTCTGAAGGTGGTTATCAGTCTATGAACACTAGTGATGAGCATTGTAATCATGAGCTTCCACCTCTTCCTCCGAGTACTTGTTCTGGAGCTGAACTTACGATTCCGGAGACTGATAGCTATTGGAATCTGGCGCATGCTGGCATGGACGATACGTTTTCCTTTGAGCTTGATGGCTTGGTGGATCAAAACAGTCTTGGTGAGAGTGGAACAGAAGGGTTTGACTCTTCATCCTCCACATTCTTCTATCAATAATAGTGAATTGCCCAAGTTTTGTGACTTTCTTCTTTATTGAACAATCCTTTTTGCCTCTATTATGGAGTGGAGTGAAAGATATCACGTGTTTTTCTCTCTCTTGTAGCGTTTTATGTTTCTCTAAAAAAATTCAATGAATGTTTTTGTTATTGTGGCTTATAAAATGCAAGGTTTCTTGATCGCTTGTTACTTTTCTTAACGCCTTACGGTTCAAGTCTCTTTATAGTTTGATTTTTTTTTTCAACTCTGAAGATTCATTAAGATACACAAATTATGGTCTGGTTGTGATCTATGATGATCATCACGTAAGCCGTTATTACAACCTAACCTTGACATTGTTACACCATATGCATCTCATCTAAGATGATAAACCTGAAAGCGTCAAAGTCATGCATGTGATAAGTATTAGTCATATATTTGACTCTAAACGTGTTCATTCTAAAACTAATATACCCCACTGTTTCACAAATTTACATGTTATTGCTAAATGATTGTGTTTGTCGTCCCCGGTTGTCACTATTTAATCAACAACTATTAGATCTAGTGAATAGACTGTTTACGCTATCTTGTAAGATCTGTAAGTGGTCTTATAATTCTATCATCATTCTTGCCTCATCTATGGTCTTACTCCATACCTCGTTTTCCGTTGATGACAAGTATCTAATCTTCTTCTGCTCACAGGTTGCTAATGATTCGAAATTCTCAAGAGATTATGTGGATGCTAATATTAATTAACTTCACACAAGTAAGCACACTGGTTTTTCTGAATCTTGAGTTATAATCAGAGTAGTACCTTCCAAAGTTATGTTTCTCGATAATGGTTTAACAAGTTAATGGGATGAAACCTCCACCAAGAGAGATGAAAGCCAAAAGCAATCAGCAGAGACATAAGACTAACTTTGCATCTATTCTGTCACAAATTCATTTGAGTCGTATATAAGGTAAAAACATTCTTAGAGTTGTGTGTTTGGCATAGTTCCAAGCTGTTCAATATCCTCTAATCTAATAACACTATAACAGAGGATGAAATGAAGTAATGAAACCTTTATGATGTCTTTCTAAGCTCATGTGTTTAAAAGTTCAACACTCGCTTCTGGACGTTCTTCTAGGCAAAGAATTTACTTGTGCCTCCTCTTGTATTCTTTTATCCTTATCGGCTTTGATCTCACCATAAAAATAAGAGACAAAACCCCAAAGAGACAGAGCAAGAGAAAGACCCTTCTCTGGTTGGAACTTCTCATGGTAGAAAATAACAGCTAAAACCTCTGTGATGGGCAAAAGAACTGATATCATAATACCAGAGACAAGAGATGATGCACAGAAGATTAATCCAATGGCTCCTAAGAAGAATCCTTGCCATATTATAGCTGAAATTACAGCCACCACATAGAACATTGCCTCTCCAAGCTTGAACTCTCTTGCTTCTTTTGGTAAGGCCTGCAAATAAGGTAAAGGACTCAGGACTTAAGTCAAAAACATCTGATCTGTTTTCAAAGAGTAATTAACATACCTTGAAATCACCAGCAATGAGCATACCAATGAGGCTCACTAAACAAGCAAGGAAGCACAAAATCAACTGAACCTCAAGCACAAGTGTATAACTCATGGGTTGCTTAGCTTTCTGGTAAGCAAGCTCCACCAAAGGCAAGAGAAATGCATACATAACAGCGGCTGCTACAGTCACCAAGAACCCAGTCATGTACTGCTTGTGAGTCTCATGAACCGGCTTATCAGTGTCGGTATGCATTCCCAACACCGCAGCTCCAACGGTCAGCAACACAACAGCATTGATGGTAAAAGGAGTGAACTTATGGCTAACCATGAAATATGAGAAGATGGCTATGAAAGCTAACTGTGAAGCAATGATGAGAGCAGCTGTTGAAACTGGGAGATAAGCTATGCCATATGCGTATAAGTAGTTATCAAACCCTGAGAGGATCCCTATGAGAATCGCAGCGATAAGGAGACGTGGCTTTATGAGAAAGAAGCGTGTGTTCTCTCCTTCATTGTTGTTGCTTCTGCGCCGGTTAAGATAAGAGAAGAGGAGAGGAATGAATATGATTGGAAAGCCTGCGGTTTCAAGAAAAGTGGAGAACCAAATCCTGTGGCCACCATTGTTGAAGTAGAGACGCATGATCAGAGGACCACCACAGTTTCCTATGGCGAGAATGATGCAGTTTATGATCACAAGAGCCCTCGCCATTCTTGTCTCCTTGATTGATTCTTCAAAATGTTTTGGTTTTTTGTTGTGAGTAATATGAAACTTTTAGGATTTGTGTTTGGAGGAGTTATGTTAGTTATAAAACAAACGAACAAACAAACAAACAGAAGCTACTTACTGTCTTTTCCCTCAAAATGATTATGTTATGATCTTTGTTTCTTAGTTTTGTATGATCTTTTTGTTTTTTTATTGTTTGACCTAGCGATGATTTTTCCTGTTTTATCTCCACAAATCTTGGTATCAGTTATATTATGTATCAAATCATAAAACGTTGTAATTATTTAGTCAAAGAAAAAACGTTGTAATTATCTCGTGGAGCCGTTACTATTCATTTTAATAAATATCATGATTATATGTTATTTATGTACAATTTGAAACAAAGTCTTTTATTGACAAAGCAATAAAGAGAAATTCATTTAGTGTGATCATATTTGTGACAGAACCTATAGTTATGTGGCTCATACAGAAATACAATTTAAATTCAAATGAATTGACAGAGCGAAAGACCAGATTTTCGTGTAGTACAACAGATAATTGATGGATACGCACATGGCAATAAATTTATAATTAATATTTTGTTTTTGAATATAAATTTAAAATTTTGCAAAAACAAGTTGTAGCCAGAGGTACGTTTGTCGCAAATTTTGCATAGCCAGTAGAGAGTAATTCTTGTAATTTACATACTTTTTTAATTACAAAAATACAATTTTTTGATAATGAAGAGGTAAGACTTCCTTTAACCTACAAATTCCATCTCGTAGTTATAAAATCACTCTTTCAATCAATTCAACATGTTTGTTCAATATTCTCTGAAACATTTTGTCTGATGGATGATCATTACGTTCCACTTTTTGATAGTTTGAGCCAAAGTCTGTGTATATATATACATTAAAAAATGATTTTGAATCCTTAGAATCAATATAGTAACAAAACAAAAAGAACATACTGTATGGTAAATTTTGAATGTGTGGGTTTGTTGATGATGACTGATGTGAGTGACCATGAAGAAGAACCAACCTCTTTGCAAGGGGAGGCTTTTGTATCTTTCTGTCTTAAGCTGAATCTGGTAATCTTACAGGCAAATTAGCTTTCCTGTGACCCCTTGCACCCGACCGTCTGTCTCTCCCACGCCTTCTAGGCGGCGATGTCCTAACTGCTCTTCCACTCGAGACTTTTCTAGGCAAATCGCTGCTTATTAAAACCGGTGTAGGTAGTGACGGCGGTGGAGGAGAAAAACTAGGCACTGGTGGCTTTTGCCTTGCGAATCTCTCTTGCTCTGCTCGATGATATCTCTGTATTTTGAGTGAGAGATCAAAGTCAGGATTCTCTTTACTTTTTTTTGCTTATTAGGCTAAGTCAACATTTAAAGAAGAAACTCACCTGAATTACAAAATTACGTCTCTCGCAGTCAAGGAACATGCTCACTGTCCAGTTTGTTTTTGCTGCAATCTTGTCTCTTACTGTTGAGAAACTGATTTGATCTCTTGAAGTGAACCGGTCTACTTCGTTGAACCAAAGACAAGTGAAGAGGTTGCTTATGGGAACATGCTCTCTCAAAATGACACATCCCTCCGGAACGTCTGCATAATAGCCAGACCATATATAGTTTGTGTATAAAACATGTGTTTGATCCTTTAAAATGAGATTTTGGAAAGAGTAAAACATAGACATACCGCTTGTGATTGGGAGCTTTGCAACAGAGTAAGGAGTTAACCCTTCATTCTTGTAGAAATCCACTTGAAAGTCGATAGAGGCATTATCATATTTACCGGCAGCTTTATTTGCTTCAGCTTCCACGAAAACATCAAATCTTCTATAATGTCTAGAGATCGCAAACGTAGCATTTTTCCTCCACAAGAACCTGATGAAAAGAGACTTCATTAGGATTGATGCGGTCCACCAAGCCTAAGGTCTTCTAAACTAAAAGCATGAACTTATTTGAAACAATTGAACATTTTAAAGTTACTGGAACATTAAGCACAAAAGCTAAGCTGCTTCCGGACAATTTAGCTAGCAGATTCTTACCATATCACTAATCTGAATAGAGGAATATTTGTTACTCAATAACAGCAGGAAGCAGCTTAACCAACCAATTCAAGATGGTCGCAATAGAATTTAGGACACACTACATACAGCATATCACTAGAGATATCCTGGGAGATCTTAAAAGAATAACATATTATAGGCTTTACCTTTCAAGAATTTGATATGGATCGACGACAAGCTCAAGTTTTCCATCAATCCATAAAGAATAGCGAGCATTTGGAAACATCCTATGAACAAGAAGCTTTGGCACCTACAAAGAGAACGAGGTATCAGCATATAAGTGGCCTTTATAATCTTTCCCTTTTCTAGTAAACAACTTCAAACCTAATCTAAACAAAAGGCTGTTCTTACAACAGAGTGGATACAATACATTTGGTGAAAGATTGTAAACATAAGGGGGAATATCCAGCATGTTCTTACAGCAGGTCACTAAACTCATGTTTTAGTTTCTTAGTAAGTGAATGCATAATTTCGTCGGTGGAAAGAGAAGAGAGGTGCATCTACCTTTCCATTGCGCCTTCCATCGGAATAAGGGAGATTATGAACAACAACAACTCTCCATATCCCTACTTTCTTGCTCTCGTTAAGGCCTCTTTCTCTCTTCAAAATTGATTCAGTTTCTTCATCAACAAACATGTAGAAACAAACTGTTTCCTCCGAGTATTTACTGATATTTTGTGGGGCTTTTACATCATCAAAAGCATCTGAAAAGAGAAACATTCTTCATCGGAAACACATACAAATTGGCAACACTACTAGAACGATAAATAACAAAATATGATAAGTATCACGTGAAGGACTACCAAATACAGCTGAAGCAACGACTACCCCACGGCACTGCTTCATTTCAAGAAGATCAGCCTCATCCATGTCAAAACCTGTATTTAGACCAGGTTGAGGCCCTTTGACAAACCTGATTGAAAAAATACTAAGATGAGATTTTTTTTTAAAAAAGCAGACAATGGGAATGAAAAAGACCACAAGATACTTACCCACAATGTACACTCATAGTTTCTTTAATGTCAAAAGAATCATTCCTAAGTTTCAAAGTAGGATAACCACCAAAATCCGACCCTCCAAACTCTGTGTCTCTGTTTAGTGGCTCTTCATATATGTACGTTAAGTTCTTAAGAACAGGGGAAAACGATGGGGCATTTGGCATCAAAGCAATCGCTTCTTCTACTGGAAGGTAACATACCGGGCATGCTGAAACCAAAACACAGCAGAACAAACACAAAACACAGCTTACAAAAACACCTCAACGACCGTATATCTCAGAACTTTTCAGCAATGTCGTAGCAGTCTCACAGAAAAAGAAAACAGAGATTTATATATATATATCTTACGGCGAGGTCCAGTTCTTTTTCTGTCGGCAGGTGGGGGAGGTAAGGTGAAACTATGACAAGGATGTCCTTGAGGAAGCGTATAGCCAAGAAAATGCGTAGGAGAAGGAGGAGGAGGAGGGGAATATACAACATTAAAAGATATATTCCGTATGTTGATGTTTTGCTCTTCATTAAACAAGTTGGAATGATTTACAACTGAACTTCCATTGAAATGTAGACTCGGTGGAACTTGAACTTCCTGTCCATCTTCACCTGAATACAAATCCAAAAAAAAACTCTCACAATACTTCAAAAATAGAATGAATTTCATAGTAATATCCTCAAGTATAATTCTAGCTCCAAGTAAACCTTCCCAAGTACCAATGTTCTAAACATCACTAGGCGGCGGTGGTTAGACGCCTTATAGAGGATTGATTATTGCTTAGGCCGATTTTTTCAACTGCCTAGACCGATTTTTAGAACACTGTTCTCAATTGAATATACAAGATCTTAGAGTCTACTCCTAAATTCTAGCTCCAAGTAAACCTTCTCAAGTCCAATGTTCTAAAATTCGCTAAGCGGTTAGGCGCGCGGCTAGACCGATTTTTCCAACAGCCTAAACCGATTTCTAGAACACTGTTCACAACAATCAATTGAATACAGTCCAAGATCTTAGCAAATACACAATCAAACACTCTACTCCTAAACTCTAAGCCAATAGGAAGCAAAACTTTACTCCTAAGTAAGAAACTAAAGGATCTATACCTTTGCCGACGAAGAGGACGCGGAGGAAGACGACGGCGGAGATCAAGAAGAGTAACAACATGCCGACCTTCTTACGACCAGCGAATTTGAAGATCCAATGAACGACGCCTTCCCTCTCCTTATGCATCTTAGACGGTTTGTTACGTATCGTAGTCGCCTGGATAGGCAAAACGACGCCGTTGAGTCCCGTCTTGTCCAAGGAACCATAGCTACTGGATCGAACGCCCAATCCAGTCATCCTTATCCTCCTTTAATCATTCCATCAGTTTCGGAATGTTTTTCAGATTCAAGCTTCCCTCTCAAGTTCTTCACACAATTTCGAATCTGATCTGCGGAATTGAGCTTAAACGGAATCGAATCGGAGGAATCTGCAGCCTTCCTGTTCAATGAGTGGGAAGAGGAGATTGCGACGACGGATCAAGAGGGAGACGAGAATCTAGGGTTTGTGAATTGGGGGGTTTTAATTCAAAAACTGGGGAAAATCTGTTTGAAGCAAAATAACAAAAGGCACCAAAAAAGTCACTCTTCTTCTATACACACAAACAAAATTTAATAATTGTACTGTCAAAATTGACGAAGAACTAAATACACTCTCCCAATCAGAAAATTCATTATTCCGCGTGAAACAAAAACAAAAGACAGTTTGGTGTACTTTTTTTTTTTTTTAATTATGTCTATGTGTAGTTAATATCTAATTAAATTTCCTAGTATTTTGTTGTTTGTGAAAAAATCTTGATTTAAAATTTGAGTGTATACTGTATTTTCTTGTTTAGTAATTAAAAAAAATTTTGTTGAAATAATTATTTTTTTAATCGTTGTTGGTTTTTGATCTTAAATAATTAAAGTTATACATTTATGATTCAAAATTAATATTTTAATGTGTGAAATTCATTTGAAATATATACTTAAATTTTATTTTTTGAGTAATGGATTAAGATAATAAGTCATGTTGTAATTCAAAGTTTAAAACACTGTCAGGATAAAAATATGAAGATAATTAGAAAAAAAAAAGGTAAGGTTGTCTGAATGTGAACGTTAAATTGTTAGTTTTTGGGTAAATTTGTAACTCAATGAAATTATTTATGTGATGGTTAGTGATGTGTCAATTTTAATAGTTTACAAATATACGAGAATTGAAGCACGTTGATTTTACTTTTTACGAAATCTGATTTATTAAAAAAGAAGTCTGATTTCTTAAAAAGAAAGTTTTAATCTCTGTCTTTCTCTGAGGTTTAATTAATCTTATCTTTGACTACTATAAAGAACACACGGCGGTTTGTTACTGCTGGGCGTTGAAACTTTAACATGTAATTAAAGTATAGAAAACTAAGAGGCTATTATTATTGTCCAAACACTAATGTAAACATCATTACAGAGTTTGTGACAACTAAGATTTTTAAATAAATGAATACATTTATCAACACCTAGCCGCCATCCATGAACCCTGTCATTATTTTAGTCTCCTCTGTCGCACTTAATTATACAAAATTCACTGAATTAGTTTTTTTTTTCTCAATGCATCCTTTCGTTCCTTTTTATCACATGATGATATATTCTTTGTAATAGTGATAAAGGCAAAAAATATAATGAAAATAGAACATAAAAGATAAGATGACTAAATTACTCCACATTCTAACCACTAACCAAAATTCAATTATAAAATAATGTTTTTTAAAAAATTAGGCAATGGTTTTTTGAAAAAAAAAAAAATCTGTTCGTAAGTTTCTTGGAATAAATACATGTTTGCGCTATCTTAGGATATTTTCCTTTATAAGTGATACATGGTTAATTTTATCATAAGAAATAACAACCATATATAGGGCCTTAACAAAATAAATAAGTTAACGAATTGATTCCATAGCTTGAATGAATTTAGGTAACCAATCAAAAGTCAACGATAAGAATGCATGCACCGGTTGAGTATGAGATGTATCATTATCGCTTATTATAGTCTCCATTTCATGAGAGGGGATTTTGATTGAGCCGACGGCTACGCAAACGGAAGGGTCACAGCCAAAGTAATGCCACCATGTAGACTGGGGCTAGCTATCCACAGTTGGATTCCACTTACCGGTTCAAGTAAACGCACTCAGAAACATACCTAAAGTAAAACAACTTTGTTACCAGAAAAAAATTGATAGTGATGTTACTTTTTTTTTTTTTTGACCAAGATGATTGTTTTCTTCTTAACAGACCTTTAATAGGTTTCAGATTCTGACTTTTATAGTCCATGAAAAAAAAGACGGAGAAGAAGATTTCATTAACGGAAGCTGTTCTTCTTGGAGCTCTAACTCTAGGAGCCAATGTCAGTTGAGCTTTCTCGATCTGCCAACTCTTCTTCTTCTTCTTCAATCTTGTGGATGCTGTTTCTTTCTTTTGGTTACAAAACCCTAGTTGGATGCGGTTTGTACATCTCAAACGTGGAACACACTCAAACTCGCGTTTTTTTGCTACTGAGTCTCTGTCTCACTTTCATGCTCTCCATAGCTTTCACCAGTGACCAGTTCATGTTGCTTTTTCATATTGGATTCATCCTCCTCAATCGGTATGTCCATTTTGCTTCTCCTTGCCTCAGTTTTGTGAACTATCTGTTAGGGTTTTGATTGTCTGAACAACGGTTGAGTTTTTCTATTCAAGGACTCAAAACATATGTCTCTGTGTTGCTGTTATTAAGTAAAGGATATAGATGATGAATGTTGTGGATGATTTGGAGTCTTTTAATTAGCATCTTGAAGAGCTTATAAAAACCTTCACCTAGTTGCTTACCAGATACAATGCCTTTTTTCTGCATGTTTTTTGCTCAGACAAGCTTCATATGATCATATCAGTGGAAACACAAAATGCAGAAGTTGGACTTTGCACCTACTGATAAAAGCAAATATTCAAGCACCAAGTTTCCTTTCTTGGTTACTCAAACGTAGACACCAAGTAACATAACATTCAGTAGTAATGAAGAGATCTAGCAAATAGGACTGGGTTGTTGTCATCCAGTTTCTCTTCGAAGTAGACATGGCCTTTTGCTTCTTCTTTTTTCAATGAATATCAAATTTATTAGTAACTTTTGAAGTTTTCTTTCTTTCTTTGTTTGTGCAACAAACACAAGGAGACGAGACGAGAACTAATAGGTATGCATGCATGAGAAATTGAGGAACCAACAGAGAGTGTTCATTTTACAGATCAAAAAAATTGCAAAATTTAATTAAACGCGTACATCTTCTGGAAACAAGATTCAGTATACTAATAAGCTTTTTAAATCTAGTTACAAAACTGATCTTAAACGTCTATGTACTTGCTAATCTGAGCATTTGATTAATGTGCTAATAATAAAAGATCGTTGATTAGCCGATCAGAGAGGAGAGCCAAATATAACTTAACAAATATAGATCTAACCAACAAGCGGAAAAAATGGACAAGATCAGACCTGAAAACGAGGTTAAAACCCCAAATTCCAAAGTAACAGAATTAACGACCACATAATAATTAAAAAGCAAAACCGCACTCAATCTGTCTAACCCTTTTTGTATCCTCAACAAAACCAATCCTTCATTTGTTCTTCTGCACAAATCTCTATCACTTTATATTTCTCCCACTCCTTTCATCAGGAAAGGTCGTAGAAGATACCAAAAACCTAAAGTAAAAGAGTTATAAAGACAAAATATAAAGACAAAATGGGTGGTATCAAGTTGTTACTCATCTTTGGTCTCCTGATCTTAGCTATGGTAGCTACATCCGTCAATGCGACCTACCCGTTGACTAAATCTTGCATCAACGGGCAAGGCTGTATCGGGGATGATGATGAACTAGAATCTCTAATGGATTCAGAGACAAGCCGACGTCAACTCGCTAGAGGACGTCGTTACATTGGCTACGATGCTCTTAAAAAGAATAATGTGCCTTGCAATAGACGTGGTAGATCTTACTACGATTGCAATAAGAGGAGAAGAAATAATCCTTATAGGCGTGGATGCAGTGCGATCACGCGTTGCTATAGGTACGCAAAATGATAACAAAATAAATAGAGAGGAGGATCTGATTCAACACCGTTCGATCTTCTTCGTTCTTCATTCTTGATCGTTAATGATTTTTTTTCTTTCGTAACGTACCTATGATTCTAACATTACAATTATCTTTTTTTTTTTTTTTTGTATTTTCTTTCTTTATTATATCATCATGATGCATATATAAGCTTTTGATTCTTCGATATATCGGCTATTTACTTCGTTGTTGTCTTTTTATTTCGTTTCGTTCATATATTAAGTTCTGTTTGTCTATATATTATATATTATACATCATGATGTTTTAGTATATTAAAATTATTAAGCATTTGTTTTCAAACGAGGGCCCAAACTGGAACTCTTTTTAATTCTCTCCTTTTCTATTTTATCTCGAAACAAAGACGATCGCCAAAGCTTTGGTTACTTAGTTGAATATTTGATAATTTATAGATCCAACTCGATCGGACTAGTATATGGAGAACTTGTTTCTTATACTATCAAGAACATGTGGTAGACAATGTTAAGCAAAAAAAAAGAACATGTTAAATTTCCAAACCAATGGTAAGATTTTTTAAATCAATCCAGATGAAACTTCGAAACTGTTAAATCAAAACTTATCATGGTCTCCCAAATTAATATCGACGATAAATGGACTGTGGACGGGGGTCATATTCATTTATATAGTATTAGTTCATTATATTTTAACTACTGATGTGAAACTTATGTACATACATTAACATTGATCACTTTTACAATCAAGCGTGAATAATCGTGGGAACAACATTCACAAAACATTCACAAAGCAGCCTTACATCGAGTGGTTATGTACCATGTTAAATCCAAATTATTATACATTATCAACTTATAATTGATTACTATTTAGTGGATTAACCCTATAAGTTTATATATTAGTTGATTTTTTTTTTTAAGTACGGAGTAAATTAACAGTAATCATGAAGTCAATGAAAATAGCAAATTTTTACCTCAACTGTTTATTTAATTTCATACCAGAACATGAGTTTTGTCATGCAACTCGCATAACGTGACAACTATGGAAAATGCAATCGTTGACAACGGAGTTTTTAAAGTTGACAAAAAATGGAAAATGCAATCGTTTTAAATGTTGGGGGTTTAATTGGATCTCAAATCAAAGTTGATTTTGGATAAATGAAAGCCCAAATCAAGCCCAAACCAATCTGTACCTTCATATCTTAAATCAAATCAAATCAAAACTTCAAAACTTTTTATTTTGGATAGCATTCGTACTTAATATTCACTTTATCTGTAGTTTGGTATTTCAGAGAACGTAATGTTATATTGTTGAAAATGAGGGAGAATAAATCACTCCAACTATTGTTATTCGCAATTAACTTTGTATTGAAAAATGCAACACTTGTAAAAAAGAAAGCATCTTTAAAAGCTCCAGAACTAACCGCACTTACGGACTTACCCCGTCTATACCATACGAATTGTTTTTTTTTGAGTTGTATAAATTATAGTATTAGTTACATACAAACTTATAGAGAACGTCTAATGTTAGGGGTGGGCACTTTATCCGATACCCGAACTCGTACCCGAATCCGACCCGAAATATCCGAACCGATATTCGAACCGAAGTAGCAAAATACCCGAACGGGTATTGAGTTAGGAGAGTTTGGATATCCGAACCCGAACGGGTATTACCCGAACCCGAATGGGTATCCGAAGATAACCGAACATATGTATATATACTTATTTATTCCTAGTTTATTTTTCTCATTTTATTAAAAATATTTATATTAATGTTATGTATAATTTAAGATCAGATAATATACATATAATTGTAAAAAGTAATAATTTGTTACTCATTTAAAATGCATATTAAACTTCTTATTTCCTATTTTAAACAAAATTTGCATCCAAAATTCAAAAATAACAACCAAAATAATGAATTTTATTTTCAATAATTTATTTTCAAAATTATTAATCGTCTAACTTATTAAACATTTTAAAAACAGTTAAATTAATAGTTAAATTTTAAATACATGAAACTTAAGTAGTAAAGAATTTGAAATTTTCTTTCAAAATCTAAATATCCGAACCCGATCCGAAATAACCAAGCCCGAACTAAAAGTATCCGAACCCGACCCGATATATAAAAATACCCGAACGGGTTCTATACCCTAATACCGAAATACCCGAAAACCCGGAATACCCGATCCGAACCCGAACGGGTACCCGAACGCCCACCCCTATCTAATGTTAGGCCCATCCCGTGTTCTGACTTATTTTCTTGCTGTATTTTATGTTTGTTTGTCTGAGGAAATGTGTAGGTTCATGGTCACAAGACGTCAAAACCCACCTGCACTACTACTTCATTCAGCACTGTATGGTCTTTTTCCAAATTCACTAAATCAATAAAATAAGAGAACCTAACTTTGAAACATTATTGCTAGTCACACCACATCTCCATTACTTTTTGAATATTATTGCTGATATTGTATTTGCTTTTTTGTCGACATATTGCTTTTCTTTCAAACAACAGAAGGATTAGCTTTTTAATAACTAGTAAATTAGATTTTACACACCGTGTATAAGGTTTTCAAATTTTTCTCTCCAGTTGTTAAGAATCTATCTATTCGTTGTGACAAAAAAAAAATCTATCTATTCGTATTGCTATTCTATACATAAAAAGAAACAACTGGCATCTAAATCTTGATAGTGCACATAGATTTAAGGAATTTAGGTACAAACATCATCGCAAAAACGGATTAGATTCTAGAGCGTAAGATTACCTCTAGAATATAAATATCCAACAAAATTGTTTTCATAAAAAGAGCGAGAAAAAAAAATAAAAAAAAATACTTTTATTTCTTTTAAAGGAAAGAAAAATTGTAGATGGGTCAACCGCAATCGCTCTCAGTGGCACCACTAAGAGTGGAAGTAGGGCCCTCATCATCAACTCTTCACATGAGAATTTTCAAAGGAAAGAGATAGATACGGTCCACCACATGCTAAGAGATCGAGTCAAGTTCAATTTAATTTGGTCTAAAGATCATTTAATGACACTATTAATTAATCAATTGCTTCTGTAGACCACGTCCCTTTTGTGCTACCAATTAAAACACCTAAAATTTGAAACTTTCTAACTAGCCTAATACTTTTTTCTTTTCTAAACCAAAACCTTTGACCAAGTAATATTCAAGGCATAATTAAATAATCAAATAATTGGGGCATTTTTCATATATGCCCATTACCTCTCAATCCATATGGCTTTTAGTCCACTTCCAATTATATTTGAAAATGACTTTTGACCCAAGATATCTCCTCCAAACAATGACTAAAAATAATTTATCTCCTCCAAACAATGACAAAATAATTTGCTCTACTATTTCAAACTGTAACCAAACTGTATATTGATAAGCCAATAATTACCATATAAGTCGGTTAAAACATATCTATATTTGCTATAGCACTAGGCTAACAGTATATGTAAAACGGGGCCATACATATCTCTCAGAACCCAATCACGTTATGAAAATGAAATAAACGAAAACAAAGGAGAAGAAAAAAAAATAGTCAAAAGATTCCTTACTCCTTAATTTAATATCCTCTTTTTTAGACAGCTAAGCCCCACTCTTTCTCTCCTTCTTCTTCTATCCAAGTTACTGTTTTATTTGCTTTTTCAATTTGTTCTCTTTTTCTAAGGCGTAAAGAAGGGAGAAAAGAAGAAGTAAACAATATAATAGTTCTTTTACGAAAAAGTCACAACTTTTGTTTTTCACACTCCTTTTCATCATCAAAAATCCTTTAGCAAAAGAAAGTTGGACCAATTTGGTTTCTCTATCAGACCAATCTCTTCTTCACTTGTTCACTAAAAACAAAACTCGGAGAATGCAACAAGTTGTGTAATTTTTTTTAATACAATTTTCTAATCTAATTTCACCATTGACAGTAAAAAGAAATTGAAAATTTACTAGAACAAATCCCAAAGCAAAATCCACATCTAATCTAATTTTCAAATCCTTAAACCTCTACTCAGTGATTGTAACTATGGAGAATTAACTAAACAACAGAAATGAACTAAAACAAGCCAAAGTATGAGAAACCAAATCAACAAAACCCATAAGAGATTTAATACAATTGAAACCGCAGTTGGCTTGACAAACATCTCATCTCAGCATTACAATCATCTCTCATATAATAACAAACTCTCATAAAAGGATTCATCTCGAATCCCCCATTTTTATAATAATATAACTAAAAATCACAAAGCAAATGATTATTAAAAAAAAAAAAAAAAATTAGAATTCGTTTCTTTCATTCAAGAACAAGAATCTGTAGAAGAACCTGAGACCCGAGGAGACGTCACCGGAAACAGAGGAAGCAGACGCGGCTCCGTATCCATCGGAGTCGTCGCCGGAGACGGATGCAAATAAAAGCCTCTCTCTTTAATAGCTTTCTCCTCCTCCTCAGCAGCCTCGTCGGGGCTCTGACCCGACGACCCGGATCGATCAAACGGGTCGGGTATAAGAGGCGTGACGGGGCTTAGAACGAGAGAAGGGAAGTCGAGGATGCTCGGGGAGAGGATCTCGGGTTTCCGGGGCGAGAAGGCCGAGTTAACCGGGTTGAAAACCGGGTTTAATGGGTTGATTTTTAGGTTCTTCATGGAGTTACGGCGCTCGTAGAGACGGAACCCGGAAGAGGAGGACTGTTTCTTGTTGGGCACGGCTTTGATTGGTGGGATTGAGAATTGGGAGGGAGTGGATCTCGGGTCGGGTTGGTGGGTTTGGTTGGGTTTAAGGGAGGAGGTGTTGTGTTGTTTGGGTCTGTCGGAGGATCCGGTTAGCATCTGGACGACTTGTTTGAAGGAAGAAGTGTCGGCTTGGACGAAAGTTGTCGGGTATGGGTTTGCGGATTCGGATCTTGTTGTTACGTGTCGGGTCGGAGTTGTTGGAGGTTTGTTGTTGTTGTTGCTCTCAGTGCTGCTGCAACTGCTGTTGTTGTTGTTGTTGTGGCAACGAGGAGATGGGATCAGATTCGTTGAAGCATCTCTGTATCTCGGCGAGTTCTCCATTGAGATGAGAGAGATAGAGAGAAGGGGAGAGATTGTGTTTTTGGGTTCGGTAAGAGAAAATGTTTCCGTGGGCACTATTGACTCTTTATTCTTTTCTTCTTAACTCTTGAAATTGTCACGCGCTCATCGTGGAGAGTGAGACACACGCTCCGTCGTCAAAAAGAGCAAACTGAGTCAAGGTTGACGAAAAATTTAACTTTGTGGCATCTGTTTTCTTGTTTTTGTTGGTAGAGCATTACTTTCTACACTTCTTGTGTGGCTCATCATCATTGCATCTATGGTTCCAAGTCTCGCAATAAATGATACAGGTAGCGACCAAGTCCCTAACAACGATAGTGTGTAATTTCTTGAAGAACATTTAATTTTTTGAGTGGAAAATGTTGAACTCAATAACCAATGATATTTTAGATGACCAAGATATTAATGGGACTTTTTGATCAATATAGTAAAAACTCGAAGTGATCTTATTATCTGAAGTTGTTAATTTGGAGGTATCGTTTTCAAAAGAAAAACTTGGCTGAGGTATCGTTTGAGAAAGATATATTTTTTTGTTCCACAAAAATTGATTGATTCTATAGATTTTGAATGTATTTTTATTAATATTAATAAGCTATAATTGTTTCAAAAATATGAATTTAAAAATATTTGAACTGATTCTATATTACTGGTTATTTGTTATAAGAAAGTATATAATAAAAATAAGTAGTAGATTTAATCTATGATCTTTCATTAATGAAAACTAGAGAAAATCATTTTTTTTGGAATGGAAGGATTACTACATATGAACTGAAGAGATATTTTATTAAATTAGTCTAGTCATTGGGTTGACTAACTAAAATACAAGTTAGGGTTGTGGTTTTACAAGTCTACGCTTTCAAAAACAGTGTAAATGCTTGGGCTCAAATACATTGGGCTCATAAGATTAACACAGATATGAATCAATTTCATTATTATACATCTTACCAACGGGGCTCTGTGTGAGTTAAGAAACCAGCCCGTTAGCGTGCACAAAGTTGACATTCCCAAAGACAAAAAAAAAACCCAACTAGTTTTTATATTCCTTTCGAATGTTGATACAAGAATAGACTAGCAATAGCAGCTCCCATAAAAATCTCATGATACTAGGTGAGCCAGGACCGACATTGGGAAAAGCTAGATAAAATATTGGTTTTGGCTCCCAAATTTTTTTGAAAAAATTATATGTAAATAGGTCTCTAAAAGAAAAATTTTTAGACCTCCAAATCCGTAAAAGAAAAATTTTAGGTAAAATCATTAAGAAATCGTTTTAGGCCGCATAATTCTCAGAGTCTGTCCTGGATGCAGGGAATTTGATACCATAAATTACTTTTATGGCCTAAACCAGCGTGTAACAACCCGTTAGCTTCTTTAAGAGAACCACATGTTGAGCAGGCGTCATGCTATGAGCTAAACTCGGCTTTCCCAAACTTACTCTCCTTAATGTGAAAAAATCACCTTTTTCCCTAAAACATTTATTTTACTTGAGCTCCTTGACCATTTTGATTGGATTTCAACAAACTGAACTAATCTGGTTCAATATAGTTCTGTCTGAAAACTTTCAGTTTGATTGGACTATATAAAAAATCTAAATACTGTATGGCACTTTTTTTTTTAAGTGATAAGCAATAAAATAGACATTGGAGACATTATAAAAGGTAAAAAGCAGACTAGGCAGTAAAGAGCATCTAAGGCTTCGAATGGTAAAAGCAGATCAAGCGGTGCAGATCAAGCGGTTCATGCAGATCAAGCAGGACAAGTGCAGATAAAGCAGGACAAGTGCAGATCAAGCGGATCAAGCAGGAGAGATGCAGATCAAACAATTTATCATAAATTATGAATGACAAAATAAGTTCAAAACTATAAATCATATACTAAAAGAATAAAATTATACCAAATATCAATATAAATATTTAAATGTTATAGGATTAGCCTAAATGTTTATTGGATTTTTCATAAGATGCTTGTAGCGTTTTAGTTGATCAAAATTATTTTTGAAGAACAAACATCCTAATATTTAATTCTTTGTTAATATTTATATATAAAAATGGAGATAAAACAGATTAAATAATTTATTATAAATTAAAAATAACAAAATATGTTCACATTATATATCATATATTAAAATAATAAAAATTACACCAATTATCAAAACAAATATTTCAGATGTTGTATGTTCAGCCGAAATGTCTGTAAAAATTTTATTAGATGCTTATACTTCTTCTATTTATTAATTATTTTAAAATATAAAATAATTATTTTTTTTGCTGACACTTATGTAGAAAGTTTTATATTTTTCGTGGAAAATATTTTGTTTTTTGCCGATTATACATCATGCTTATAACTTTAAAATGACACAAATAATATTAATTTGAACTATATAGTTTGAGTTAATAATTATACATTATTTATAAAATCAAATAAATATTTTTTAAAGTTAAGTGTTTGTAATAAAACTATTTATTAATAAAAGGAAGAAAAAAAGGCAGATCAACACCACCAAATGTTAGCGGATGAGATCTGCATGCATATCTCCTGCTTTTTCTACTAAAAGACAAAAAAAATTGAACTGCATGCAGATCTCCTGCTTGAACTGCTTTTACAAACAGAAAGTGATGAATGGTAAACATAAGGCAGGAGAACTGCCTATTGCGGGAGAACTGCATGATCTGCCTTTTTTCTGCCCCTCCCATTCATAACCTTAGGTTATGAATGGAAGGGGCAGGACAAAGGCAGATCAAGCAGTTCTCCCGCAATAGGCAGTTCTCCTGCCTTATGTTTACCATTCACCATTTTCTGTTTGTAAAAGCAGTTTAAGCGGGAGATCTGCATGCAGTTCAATTTTTTTTATCTTTTAGTAGAAAAAGCAGGAGATCTGCATGCAGATCCCATCCGCTAACATTTGGTGGTGTTGATCTGCCTTTCTTTTTCCTTTTACTAATAAATAGTTTTATTACAAACACTTAACTTTAAAATATATTTATTTGATTTTATAAATAATGTACAATTATTAACTCAAACTATATAGTTCACATTAATATTATTTGTATCATTTTAAAGTTATAAGCATGATGTCTAATCGCCAAAAAACACAATATTTTCCACGAAAAATATAAATTTTTCTNTCCTTTTACTAATAAATAGTTTTATTACAAACACTTAACTTTAAAATATATTTATTTGATTTTATAAATAATGTACAATTATTAACTCAAACTATATAGTTCACATTAATATTATTTGTATCATTTTAAAGTTATAAGCATGATGTCTAATCGCCAAAAAACACAATATTTTCCACGAAAAATATAAATTTTTCTACATTAGTGTCAGCAAAAAAATAATTATTTTATATTTTAAAATAATTAATAGATAGAAGAAGTATAAGCATCTAATAAAATTTTTACAGACATTTTGGCTGAACATACAACATCTGAAATATTTTGTTTTGATATTTGGTGTAATTTTTATTATTTTAATATATGATATATACTGTGAACATATTTTGTCATTTATAGTTTATAATAAATTATTTAATCTGTTTTATCTCCATTTTTATATATAAATATAAACAAAGAATTAAATATTAAGATGTCTGTTATTCAAAAATAATTTTGATCAACTAAAACGCACAAGCATCTTATGAAAAATCCAATAAACATTTAGGCTGATCCTACAGCATTTAAATATTTATATTGATATTTGGTATAATTTTATTCTTTTAATATATGATCTATAGTTTTGAACTTATTTTTTCATTCATAATTTATGATAAATTGTTTGATCTGTATCTCTCCTGCTTGATCCGCTTGATCTGCACTTGTCCTGCTTTATCTGCACTTGTCCTGCTTGATCTGCATGAACCGCTTGATCTGCACCGCTTGATCTGCTTTTACCATTCGAAGCCTTAGTTTAGAGGCCTATGAAAAAACTCTAAAACGAGGAGATGGTATATTTTTCGTATAGAAAAGAGAGAGAGGAAAGCATACTGAAAATTGAAAATGATTGGGCATTGTGAAAGTGCATCACTTAGATCGTCGCGCCATACCCATATATGCCCTTCTTGTTGTTTATCACTTTTATTTCAAAGAGCTATCAATTTAAACTTTTTTTTTGTTATTTTTAAATTAACTTTTCTATTTTTGAACTTTGAGATGTGATGGGAAATTATGTCAGACACGTGGCCGACAATTTCACAGCTGATTTTTCTCCGAATCCAAGAACCCACTAGAAAGTAGAAAACCCTATTCGATGATTCCCCTCGACATTATTACCGTTCTTTGTAATCATATTTTCTTGTCTGCAGCGTAATTATATTTATCATTTCAATTTGATCAAATATTAGGAAATACGAGTTAAAAAAATACTCCTCGTACAAGCTACTCGTTCTATGCAATGATATATCTCCGTAGTATTTTTTGTTATGATCATAGTTAAAGAATCTTATTGGCAAAAATCTATCTAATGTAATTATGAAAACAAATGCTTTTTTGAGGTTTTGTGATATTGGTGAGATGGATGTTCTCTAATGCCTATATTTGTATACGTAATATGGCATCATGTATTGCCTCCGTTTATACAGACTTCAAAACACACATGGCTTTCACTTTCTTTTGCGCATTCAATGTACCATTAAATGATATCATCCCATTTCAGTGACCTTCTCAACATCACAGATAAAATCATTGATCTTTCTCGAAGCTGGCTATTTTTATTCAAACGAAACTTAAAACAACGTCACTTGAGGAAACATTCATAAAACCACACAAACATTTAACTTAAAACTAGCTAACATTACACTTGCAACGCAGAAACACATAACTCGCTCTCTCTCTCTTTTGAACTTTGACGTAATCAAGAAAGTAACCAGAGCATCTCAATCATCTTCATTTGGGGCAGACTGGGTTGAACGCGAATGGACCGACGGTAAAGACACCGTAGATGAGCTTGTTAATGACCAACGAAGATTTTCCCGGCGTTTTAACTGGCTTGAGTACAGCGCCGACATCTCCACCGAAGAGTTTGGAGACTTTGTTGCATTTGTAGTCCTTTGATTTCACAAGATACGCACGACATCCTCTGAAACCGAAGTTGGTCACCGTCTTAGGAGCCAACAACAAGAAGTATCCGTTCTTGTCTGTCTCGGTCTCTGCGACTATGTTCTTCTTGCTCTTACACACTAGTCTCACCTTAGCACCTAAAGAAACAATAGTAATATCCGTTGGTTAGATTTAGTTTTGGACTAATGGATATAGTTAAAGTGTTTTTAGTTATTGTCTCGGGCTCGTAAATATTATGGGACAGTGTAAAACAGTGACTGAAGAGTGCAGTGCAGGAGTGTATATAGTATAGTCACATTATTTTATGTTTTACCTCTTTTCGAAACATAATTACTACTCCCTCCGTTTCAAATTATATGATGTTTTAGAAGGTTTAAGTTGTTTCAAAATATATGATGTTTTGAAGTTTTAAGGTATCTTTTGAGGTTTTAAGGTTAACTTTAACTTTATTGGAAACTGTTCAACCAATAAAATTTTATAATTTTTTTTATAATTGGTTGAATGATTATAATATTATATCTTTTAAAGTGCTTTTTAGAATAATGTAAATTTCTTAATTTTCGTGCATCAACCCAAAACATCATATATTAAGAAACGGAGGGAGTAGTTTCGTAGCTATGGTCCCACTAGTAACGTTTTGAAATTTAAATTATTTCTCAAAGTTTGCGTCATGATTGAATCAAGCAAGTACGTATTGTTTTACAAATATACGTGTATTTATTGAATAAATGCATATGCAGCAGAGCAAGAAAAATACTGAATTAGTATTTGTTACTAATGAGGTATTTGCCTGAGTAATAATGTAAATAATGAATGTGAACAAAATATACTAATAATAAAAAGATTCTAACCTTCAACGGGTTTGGCTCCAGTGAGTGAATCGTAAGCAGCGTATTTGCAGCTTTTGCAGAAGACTGTGCCCTGAACGGCGACTAGGCTCCTGTTAAACTTCGGTGGGTAAACCGGGGGCTTAACCGGAGGCTTGGCTGGAGGTGAGACAGGAGGCTTAACCGGGGGTTTAGTTGGGGGCTTAGTAGGGGCTTTGCTCGGAGGGTAAACCGGGGGCTTAACCGGAGGCTTGGCTGGTGGTGAAACTGGTGGCTTAACTGGAGGTTTAACTGGGGGCTTAACCGGGGCTTTGGTTGGAGGGTAAACCGGGGGCTTAACCGGAGGTTTGGCTGGTGGAGAAACTGGTGGTTTAACCGGAGGTTTAGTTGGGGGCTTAACCGGAGCTTTGGCTGGAGGGTAAACTGGAGGCTTAACCGGAGGTTTAGCTGGCGGAGAAACCGGTGGCTTAACAGGGGCTTTTGCTGGAGGGTGGGGGTGGGGGTGAGGGTGGTGGTGATGGGGAGGATGTGGGTGGTGGTGGCCATGGTGGTAAGGAGCTGGAGCGGGAGCAGAGGAAGGTGTTTGAGTCACATGGTTCACTTCTTCAGTGAAGGCAGAGGAAGTGAAGCACCAAAGTGCAATGAGACTCACCAGTACACACTTACCCAAGAACCCCATGTTTTGTTTTTGTTGCTTTGGTTAGTGATATGAGATGAGATTATGGTATGGGTGTATTTATAGGACAAGGCTAGGTGTCATGAAATAAAGTCCTTTTTCGTCAATAATAAATGGAAGTCACTATTTTTTCTTTTGTTAGTGTTATGAATAGTATGTTGAAGCTTCCCTCTCTTATGGTTTTAGGATCGACAATAGAGCATCTCTAACCATAAAACCTTTTTAGGAGTGCTTAAGTTTTTTTATTTTTGATTTAAAAAAACACATTAAAAACAGATTAATCGTGGGTCGCCATATATGCATGGAACCCATGAACAGTCCAATCATTCAACAAAAACCAATGCTTATTTTGGCTACCTTACAATTGGATTTTATCTTCTTTGTGGATCCTCTTCCCTTGAACCAGCCACTAAGAGCACCCCCATTGAAGGTTTATGGGGGAACTTCACACGAAAATCAAGAAAATATAATAATAAAATAACAAAAACTTATGAACCCTTCTCTCCTAAAGTTTATCCCAGTGAATCCCTCTCTCCTGAGGTTCAACACGTGGCGACTCGGGATTGGTCTAGATTTTTTTTTTTTTTTTTTTAAAAAAAAATCAAAAAGAAAAAAAAATTAATAATAAAAAAATGATTCAATGAACCCCAAGAAGGGGTTCATTGATGTGGATGCTCTAAGCACCTTGGATAATCTTGCTATTAGATTACAAACAAAATAATTATTTACAATCCATTTACCAAATGAACAACCGGATTCTATCACTTGATAGACAACTATTGTATTCAAATTATTTTTAAACTGTTCAAGCGGTTGTAACCAATATGTTCAGCAAATCATATGCATTTTTAATCACAATTTAGAGAGTGAGATCTAATCCAAGACTAACATCTATATTTTCATTGTTTACTGCTATATTTTTAATTGCAGGAACCAACATCTATATTCCTTTACATACTATAACTTAGTACTTCTCTTTTATGTCTAAATTTCTTGTATTTAAGCATTAATTTTCTTTTCATTTAATTTTTACAATCATCTATTTTAATACATTTCAATAGTACTTTCTATTAATATTTATTCTTATTTTATTATTTTTTTATATGAAGAAGTTCTTTCACATTTTCCTCAATTTGCAATAGTTAAAATATATTTTTAGCATTTTTGTTATTAAATTTTATACAGTAAAAATAAATAAATAAATCATAGTCCTTTTCCCTTCATATTTTAGGATATCCCAATGTATATCTTTATAGTTTTTAACAATTCATTGAAAATCATTTATTTGTATTATATAAGACAATAAAGAATTAAACAGTTTAGCCCAACGTATATCTTTATATTTTTAATAAAGTAAAGAACTCTATTATTGATTTAGTTGTCTTTTTAATGTTTACCTCCATAACAAACAAAAAATCTATTTTAAAAGAAAATATAAAAAAGCTATTTTTGTCTCTATATAATAGAAAATTTATAAATGAATAAATTTCACTAATTTTGAGTTATATCAGTGTATGGTATGACACAATTCAATAAGATAATACTTTTTTTTGAATTTGTTTATGTATATATAAAGTTTATATAAATATAAACAATATATCGTATATATTATTTTTTCTTCAAAGTGAGTCTTTCTATAATTTTCTTAATATTTATAAATATATTGATGTTAATTTGTCATTTTACCTTTAAAATACATCAACATTTACATCATATATTTTTATACAACAAAGAATTCAATTAAAACAATATATAATTTCTAACTATAAAATTTCGTCAATATCTGTACTATAAAATGAACATTTTTCGTAATTTTCATAAAACATAGTTGAAAATATATAAATATAAAAAGGTGATGTAAATTAATTAATATAAATATTTCAACAATTAATTTATATGGTTTTTCGTGTATGTGTATGTGTATTTACATATGAAAACTGTATTTTTATTTTTTTCCTTAAAAATAGAGGAACACTATAAAAACATTATGGAGCAAATTTAATTTTATAATAAAAATTCTCTATTAAAAAATAAAGATAAATATAAGGTAGATTAAAATGATCTTACACATTATATATGTGAATATGGGTATAAGAATTTATTTAGACGATAGTTATGTTTTCAAGTGTTTATAAACAATTCATACTAGTGCAACTGTTGAAAATGAATGCATATATAAAATGTTGGTAACTAATTGACTACCAAATAATCTAAATATAAATTATAATAGATGTCAATGAAAATAACTAATTGACTAACATTTTTTTTAATTATTTCATCTAAATTATAAACTGTTAACTTTTTGTGTGTCACTGCTTTTTAATATAAATAATTAAACAAAACTAAGAATTTTTATCCATAATCATCAACAACTGCAAACATTAGGAGAAAAAATCGACTTAGAGAAGTTCATTTTTTATTTTTTGTAGTTAGCCAAAATGTTCATATTTTAAATCCTAAATAACTACATAAAAGTAGTTATTCATGCCCTAATAAGCACTAAATTCAAATTTGAATCTATCATCATTGTAATGATTACGCTTGGACAAAAATGTTTCAACGATCAAAGAGTTAAAATATTAAGGGAAGATTGTTTTTTAGGCAAAAAATGGTAACATTCTCTCTTTAGTCTAATTTCTATTTTGTACTATTTTTCTTCTAATGTTCTTTAGTATTTTCGAAAATAAATTAAATAAATAATTTTACAAACAAAAAACAATCAGAAAATAATAATTAGTTATGAAACACCTATATCAATTTAGTGGTATTTTCAAGTTTTAAAAATGTATAAATTATTTTTATAAAATTATGTTCTACATAAAGTAGAACTGATATTCTACAAAGTAGAAAATGAAATTCATTTTTTTCATTGAATCTACTATATTTAGAATATGTGATATACGTAAATAGAAGTATTCTACTAATATTTAGAAAACACATTTCACGCTTACACTGTCCCTCTAAAATCAGTAGAAAACAGAATTTACATATTACTATAGGGAAAATTCCATATAAATACCCCAACTAAATTTTATTTTTTAATAACCAAAATTTTTCACTACCCAATTTAATACCTCAACTAATAATTTTGCCCACTTTAATATACAAACTTTTATAACTATGCCCATTTTAATACCCAAACTTTGTTTATTTTAATTAACAATACTAATAAATTTCAAACAAAATTTTTAAAAATCTCCAAAATCTAAGAAAAAATATTTAAAATTTCTAAGTTCACTCTAAGATTTAAGAAAGAAGGTAAATAATCTCTGGAGAAAATTTAAAATGTTTAAAAAAAATAATTTTGAAGGGAACAAAAATAATTTATTTTTTATTTCAGAAAATAAACTAAATTCAATATATAAAAGTTAAAAAAATTATTACAAAACTTAAGATTATAAAAAATTTATTTAATTTCATTTCTCTAACATATAATAAAATCAACTTTTTGGTAAAGTTTAGAAATTTTAAAAAAATTATTGGAAACTTATTCGTATTGTTAATTAAAATAAACAAAGCTTAGGTATTAAAATAGACACAGTTATAAAAGTTTGTGCATTAAAATAGGCAAAATAATTAGTTGGGGTATTAAACTGGGCAGCGAAAAAGTTTGGGTATTAAAAAGCTTAATAAAATTTAGTTGGAGTATTTATATGGAATTTTTCCCATTACTATAAAATCTAAAATAAATAAAAATCAGAATCTACACATTATTATAAATCTAAAATCCGTAGAACTTGATTTCAAACATTATCATTGTATTCTACATATAGTATTATACACATTCTACAGATAAGAATATTCAGTTCTAAAAATATGGGAAGAAAATATTTGGAAATATTCGATTTCCATAAAAAAATCGTTTTTCATTAAAAAGTTAAAAAGAAAGTGTTTGGGTTCGACCGACTATTTTGGGGATCGATCGATCTTGTTGGATTGAGCAGTTTCTACTTTTCGTATTTTTTTCTGATTTGAGATTTTTTTTTTTACGATTTTTTTATTTGAAATTAAAGACATCATTGTTATTTAATAGTATTTAGCATAATAGGACATAAAGTATATGAGATTAGTTTAAAGAGACGACGCTAGCATTTTTTGTCTAAAAAACAATTTTCCCAAATATTCAATGGAAAGAACATAGATTTAACTTTCTCTTATGTTAGTAGAACTTGTACTCATCACGTAGACCAACTTGCTAAGAAAGCCAGGATAAATCATCAAAATTATTTAATATCCTGGGTATTATTAACCTTCTTGTAATCAATATCAATGGAAAGGAAGTTGACAAAAAAAAAACGCTTGGATATTTTTCCCGCCGTATGTCTGGAATGTTTTTGTTTTTTTTCTGTGTCCAATATAATTTAGCTTTAGTGTCTAATCGATTCACGAATAGGTCCAGCCCCACCATTCCCACAATAATCATAGTATTCATTCATGAATCGGTAAATTAGATTATTACCGTTGGGGGAGATATATTTTGTCTGGAAAGAGACATGTCACGTTACATGTTCGTGTCACCTGCAAAGTTATGGAAAATCTCAAATATGGTATGCTCAGTATTGGACCTACCCTATCAATTATTTTTTCTCAAGTTAATCAAGCTTTGGATGCTTTGATCTAACGCCTCCTATAGGCACACACAACACCATTATGAGCCATAATTGTCAAAGATGTTTAAATCGGATAACGCGAATATGTATCATCACATTTAAAAAGTAGACTAATCATTATTGTCGTTGGAATGATTCTCTTTGCAAGTATGATTTTATAGATAAACTAAAGACAACTAAATACGCCCAAAGTAAATATGCATCGTGAACTCACCACGTTTTTCTCCAAGATTTATGGCTATTTTGGTGTTGGCTGTTAGTCTTTGCGCTTACATTTTCTGTGTCTACATTATAATAAAATTTTCATTAATATATACAAAGTTTTATAGGTATAGCCCATGTTTCATGAACCACACCCCACTCTATGAGATTTACATTCACGGTGACCACCATGT